AAATAATAGAACACCGGAGAGCAGAGAGAGATACCAGAGGGCCAGAAATGAGTACCTCAGAGTGAGGAGCGAAGCAGAGAGACAGTTTGAAAACGACAGAGCGAGTAAAGCCAAGACCCAACCAAAGCTGCTCCACAGCCACATCAATAGGAAAACAGCTGTGAAGGAACAAGTGATGAAACTGAGAAAAGGGGAGAATAGATACACAGAGAATGACAAGGAGGTGTGTGAAGAACCGAACAAGATAATTCCATAAGGTCATGAGGTCTTCACAATACAACAAGGAGAAGCCCCTGCACTAAATGAGGAGGAGGCAAACCAAGCAATCTTGGAGGAATTTGACCTCACCAGTGATGAGGTCAAAAAGTGTCTGCTGGAGCTGGATGTGACAAAGGCTGTTGGGCCTGACAGAATCTCACCATGGATACTAAAGGAAGGTGCATAAACACTAAGTGTGCCACTCTCTATGGTGTATAACAGGTCACAGGAAGCAGGAGACTTACCAGAAAGTTGGAAGACAACTAACGTAGTCCCCATATACAAGAAGGGTGACAGGCAAGAGACACTGAACTACAGACCAGTTTCCCTAAGTTGTATACCATGCAAGGTGATGGAGAAGATCGTGAGGAAAAGGCTCGTAGAACATCTGGAGGGAAAAAACTTTGTAATGCACCACCAACATGGGTTCAGGGATGGTAAATCGTGCCTTACAAGTTTAATAGAATTCTATGACCAGGCAACGAAAATTAGGCAGGAAAGAGAAGGGTGGGCAGACTGCATTTTCCTGGACTGCCAAAAAGCCTTTGATGCAGTGCCCCATAAAAGGCTGTTAAAAAAGTTGGAGCATCAGGCAGGAGTAAAAGGGAAGGTGCTCCAGTGGATAAGGGAGTACTTAAGCAACAGGAAACAGCGAGTAACGGTGGGGAGGGAGACATCAGAGTGGCGAGATGTCATCAGCGGTGTTCCACAGGGCTCAGTACTTGGACCCATTCTGGTTTTAATATATGTAAACGATCTTCCGGAGGGTATAGACTCGTTCCTCTCAATGTTTGCTGATGATGCAAAAATTATGAGAAAAATCAAGACGGATTAAGATAGACAGAGACTACAGGATGACCTGTAGTCTCTGTCCCTTTACCCTGTACCCTCCATGTACCGCCTTTTCTCTCACCCCTTACCCTCCCTGTCTCCTTTTCCCTCTCACCCCATACAGTTAGGGAGGGTACATCCCTGTACCCTCCTCCCCAATCACCACATACCCTCCTGGTCCCCACCATCCCTACACCCCATACCCTCCTTGGCCCCCTCTTCCCTCACCCAATATCCCCTCTGTCTCCAGAACCCCCCCTTCACCCCCTCTGACCCCCTTTCCATGAACTTAACCCCTCACCCCAGAATCTGCCGACCCTGTTAACCAAACTCCCTCCCTAACTACTGATCTCCCTGCCCCCCCTCACCCCCTCCTCTGCATTCCCACAACCCATGGCCTTCCTCCCCCTCCATCACGTGCCCACCTTATTCCCCCATCCCATGTACTAATTGACCCTCAACACCAAACCGTCTCAGCTGCACCACCCCAGATCATCCCTGCCCCTCTGTACCAGATCCTCCCAACTCCCTCACATCCCAGGTCCATCTTCCTAGGAAGGACACCCCTTGTCAGACACCCTTTATCTACCAACTCCAGTAGAATCTACAGAAACTGATGATGGAATGAAGAGGGTCAGCTTTAAGGTAATGTATACGAACATAGATGGGATCACAAGCAAGTCAAGTGAACTTAGAGAAAGAGCACTAGAGTCAACCCGAATGTAATTGGACTTACGGAAGGAAGGGGATGAAGTGGAGTGGCCCTACTGATGAGAAAGAAATGGTTATTCTATGAGATGGTTATTCTGGTCTGAGAGGGGTTCAGAGATTTCATAACAGGCACCATGACGATGGATGGGACGACCAAGAGTAGTAGTGGCAGGGATATATAACCCTACACCCAATGTCAGAATACCCAGGCAAGAGTATGACAGAAATAACATGGCGGTTAACACATTGAGAGAGCAGCAGCTACTGCCTGTTGATATCGATTCCTTCTGCTCATTATGGGGGACTTCAGTCATGGAAGGATAGACTTGGAAAACAAGGAACTGCATGGAGGTGAGGAAACATGGAGAGCTAAACTGTTGGAAGTGGTGACAAGAAACTAGTCAGCATGTCAGGGGACCCGTAAGAATGAGAGGCAACGATGAACCAGCAAGACTCGACCTAGTATTCACTCTCAACGACTCAGACATAACGGAAATCCATTTTGAAACCCCCTTAGGGAATGAGTGATCACTGTGTACTGATGTCTGAGTACCTGGTCTAAGTATTGTTAAGATACTCAAGAAAGGGGCCCAGAAAACAAAAGGCGGGCATTCCCGAAGGGAAACTATGAGGAGATAAGGAAATGCCTAACAGATATACCTTGGGAAACAGAGCTCTGAGGAAAGACAGCCCAAGACATGATGGACTACATCAAGCAGAAGTGTAAGGAGACAGCAGACAAGTTCGTTCCAGTCCAAAAGGTAAAAAATTAAATGCAGATGAGAAACCCATGATTTAATAAGAGATGTAAGCTAGCAAACCAATTAAATACTAGGGCGTGCAGAAACTACAGAAACAACAGGACACTAGAGAGCAAAGAAAGATACCAGATCACCAGGAATGAGTACGTCAGGGTGAGAAGAAAGGTAGAGCGACAATATGAAAATGACATAGCGAGCAAAGAATTGCCTCAACCTAACTTGCTGCACCGCCACATTAGGAGAAAAACAACAGTGTAGGAACAGGTAATGGAATTGAGGATAGGAGCAGACGGATTCACAACAAACGACAAGGAAGTGTGAAAAGAACTCAATAAGAAATTTTAGGTCTTCACAGCACACCAAGAAGAGTTCCTAGAGATAAGAGAGGGAACATCTAACCGGACACCACTAGAGTAGTTTGTGATTAGCAGTGGGGAGGTGAGAAAGCATCTGCTAGATTTGGATATGAGAAAGGCTATAGGCCTGGATGAAATCTCACCATGGATACTAAAGGAAGGAACAGAAGCTCTGTGTCTGCCACAATCCATTGTGTACAACAAATCACTGGTAACAGGTGAATTGGCAAAAATTTGGAAGACGGCCAATGTAGCCACAATATACAAGAAGGGTGATAGACAAGAGGCACTGAACTACAGGCCAGTGTCCCTAATTGCATACCATGCAAGTTGATGGAGAAGAATGTTCGAAAAAACTAGTATAACATCTGGAGAGAAGAACTTTGTAACACAACATCAGCATGAGTTCAGGAATGGCAAATCAGGCCTCACAGGATTAATTGAATTCTATGATCAGGCAACAAAAATCAGGCAAGAAAGAGAGGGATGGACAGACTGCATATTTTTGAGTTGCCAGAAAGCATTTAACACAGTACCACATAAGAGACCAGTGCACAAGCAGGAGATGCAGGCAGGAATTAAAGGGAAGGTACTCCAATAGATAAGGGAGTACCTAAACAACAGAAGACAGCGAGTCACTGCCATGGGTGAGGTTTCGGAGGGGCGGGGCGTCACCAATGGAGTCCCACAGGGGTCAGTCCTTGGACCTATACTGTAACTGCTATATGTTAATGATCTCCCAGACGGAATAGACTCATTCTTCTCAATGTTTGCTGATAATGCCAAAATTATGAGGAGGATTAAGACAGAGGGAGATAGTATGAGGCTACAAGATGACCTAGTCAAGCTGAAGGATTGGTCCAACAAATAGCTACTAAAGTTCAACCAAAGTAAATGTAAAGTAATGAAACTAGGTGGAGGAAATAGGAGGCCAGACATGAGATACAGAATGGGAGATGAAGTCCTTCACGAAACGGACAGAGAGAAAGATCTAGGAGTTGATATATAAATAAATAAATAAATAAATAAATTTTTATTCAGGAAAAGTACATACATAGTTGATTTACAAACATAATGTTGGATTTATATATAGATCTAGTACATACAATACCTAAAGCCACTAATATGCATAGCGTTCACCCCAAACCTGTCTCCTGAAACCCACATCAAAAGAATAACATCAGCGCCGTATGCGAGGTTGGCTAACATCAGGACTGCCTATAGAACCCGGTGTAAGGAATCTTTCAGACCCTTGTATACCACATATGTAAGGCCAATCCTGTAGTATGCGGCCCCAGCATGGAGCTCGTTCATTGTCAAGCACAAGGCAAAACTGGAAAATGTTCGGAGGTATGCCACCAGGCTAGTCCCAGAACTAAGAGGCATGGGTTACGAGGAAAGGCTCCATGCTATGCACCTCATGTCGCTGGAAGACGGAAGTGCTCGGGGAGATATGATCACCACATGCAAAATACTCAGAAAAAATTGACAGTGTAGACAAGGATGGAATATTTAACACGGGTGATACACGCACAAGGAGACACAGGTGGAAGTTTAGTACCCAAATGAGCAATAGAGACATTAGAAAGATCTTTTCTGTGTCAGAGTAGTTAGTTAATGTAATGCACTACGAAGTGATGTGATGGAGGCTGACTCCATACACGGTATCAAATGTAGATATGATAGAGCTCGAGAAGCTCAGGAATATGTATACCAGTAGATTGACGGTTGAGAGGCGGGACCAAAGAGCCAAAGCTCACACCCCCCCCCCCCCTCCACAAGCACCACTAGGTGAGTACAACTAGGTGAGACAACACACACACACTCTAGTCGTGGTTGGGCTCCGCCATAACCCGGAGACCCAGATCCCCACCACGTCAAGGCTTAGACGCTCCTCTTACTATATCCAGAGATGGGCGGTCAGCCGGTGGGTCCAAGGGTCGGTCTCTCGGTGAGTCGGTCTCTCGGTGGGTCGGGGGTCGGTCTCTCGCTGGGTCGGTCTCTCGGTGGGTCGGTCTCTCGGTGTGTCGGTCACTTGGTGGGTCGGTCTTTTGGTGGGTCGGTCTTTTGGTGGGTCGGTCTCTCAGTGGGATGGTCTCTCGGTGGGTCGGTCTCTCGGTGGGTCGGTCTCTCGGTGTGTCGGTCTCTCGGTGGGTCGGTCTCTCGGTGAGTCGGTCTCTCGGTGGGTCGGTCTCTCGGTGTGTCGGTCACTTGGTGGGTCGGTCTTTTGGTGGGTCGGTCTTTTGGTGGGTCGGTCTCTCAGTGGGATGGTCTCTCGGTGGGTCGGAAGGTTGGTCTCTTGGTGGGTCGGAAGGGTGGTCTCTCGGTGGGTCGATAGGTTGGTCTCCTGGTGGGTCGGAAAGGTGGTCTCTCGGTGGGTCGATGGGTTGGTCTTTTGGTGGGTCGGAAGGTTGGTCTCTTGGTGGGTCGGAAAGTTGGTCTCTCGGTGGGTCGGTATGGTCGAAAGGATGGTCTCTTGGTGGGTCTGTGGGTCGGATAGTTGGTCTCTCGGTGGGTCGGAAAGTTGGTCTCTTGGTGGGTCGATGGGTTGGTCTTTTGGTGGGTCGGAAAGGTGGTCTCTTGGTGGGTCGGAAAGGTGGTCTCTCGGTGGGTCGATGGGTTGGTCTTTTGGTGGGTCGGAAAGTTGGTCTCTTGGTGGGTCGGAAGGTTGGTCTCTTGGTGGGTCGGTGGGTTGGTCTCTCGGTGGGTCGAAAGGTTGGTCTCTTGGTGGGATGAAGGTTGGTCTCTTGGTGGGTCCGTGGGTTGGTCTCTCGGTGGATCGGTAGGTTCGAAAGGTTGGTCTCTCGGTGGGTCGGTATGGTCGAAAGGATGGTCTCTTGGTGGGTCTGTGGGTCGGATAGTTGGTCTCTCGGTGGGTCGGATGGTTGGTCTCTCGGTGGGCCGGTGGGTCGGTGCGGTCGGTGGATCGGTGGGGTCGGTGGGCCGGTGGGCCGGTGGGTCGGATAGTTGGTCTCTCGGTGGGGTCGGCGGATCGGTGGGGTCAGTGGGTCGGTGGGGTCGGTGGGGTCGGTGGTTCGGTGGGGTCGGTGAGTCGGTGGGTCCGTGGGGTCGGTGGGTGAGTGGGGTCGGTGGGTCGGTGGGGTGGTTGGTCAGTGGGGTCGGTGGGGTGGTTGGTCAGTTGGGTCGGTGGGCCGGTGGGTCGGTGGGTTGGTCAGTGTGGGTAACTGGTGGGGCAGAACTGAGAGCCAGTGAATAAGAAGGCCTGAGAGAAGACGATGGGAAGGAGTGTGAAGAGGGGGAACCTGAACGATGATGCCAGGAAATACACGACGGAAGATGAGAGAAATAAAGACAAATTTCAGGCGCGAAGGTAAAAAGTTCGGAGAAAACTGTAGGAAAATATTGTTTGTGGAGCAATAGCGGCCGATCCGGAAAGTTGTCAGCTCGAGACGCATGAACCGGGCAGCCCTGTCACTATAATACTTCACACTCCTGTAACAAACTAGGCTGTTGTAAGAATTATCCAGAGTGGTTTATCGACAAAAGAGAATGGGAAGCTGAGCCGCATGGTGACCTGACCCCCAGGGGAATTCGCGGTGGAAATAACCGACGCTTTGTTCATAGCTGCGTATAATGAATCATCCTATAGTATTCAGTAATTTAGAGAAAATTAGCCTTTATTCATTTTGCATTAAAATTGTATTGTATAATAGTACTGGATACAATATCAAGAGTATTCTAATTATTGAGTTTAAGTCACCATCAGTGACGTCGCGAATCAGATCTAACTTTTAAGGCGGAGTGACCGGCGGTCATAGGTCAGCAGGGGTGACAGGTCTACTATTTCTCAAAGTTTTAATAACCATTTTTGTGATCGGGAACAGCTCTGCCGTTAGAGGCTTGTGTAATTTATTTCAGTAAAATAATTCAACCAGTCTGGATCAATTAAGTACAACAGAGTTTAATTGTTATAACTTAAACCTTGCTAGTAACTTGGAAACTTTGACTAGGCGGAAGGTTACAATGTTCTTGTCTGGGGTAGACCAGACGAGGAAAAGATCAGTGTGGTCACGGAAGCAGCTGGGAGAGGTCAAACATCTTACCTCTCCCCGAGACCAGCCCAACATCTTAGCTGGAAAACATAGAGGTATAGTTGCTATGGTTATGTATAGAAATAGTCTCATTTGCCATTCAGGTCAAGTAGGGAGTGTTAAAGTGACAGGGAGTGAACATATTTAGCTTTTTGTTTTAGTTTTCTTTTAATAAATTAATTTAGTTAAGAATTTGCATTTTTATTGTTTCCATGTGTTTTATGTGTACACTTGTCCTGGTCACGTGGTCCACACGAGGCAGAGTTGGATTGGGCGCCGATTCTAACATCGGATCGGAATTCATCATCCCCATCTAATTAATTCCACACTCAAGGTCATCGTTTACAGTGGGGATCAAGCCCCTAGGTTGATTAATTAGCGTGATCGATCCAGACCTCGATCATTGCTCTTGTGTTACTGGTCTGGTGGTGGCAGCATAGAGGCGACTCTAGAGTTTTGCTCAGAGCCTAGGTCACGTCATACTGGGTGTAGAATCCTAAGTCGGTCAATCGTCTTAGGACCACGTGGCGTGGAGTTGGCTTTGGTAAAAGTTTTGGAGTCCCTTGGTAGAGAATAAAAAGTAAGAATACGGGTAGAGGGAGTAGAAGGAAGAGAAGTAGTGAGAACACCCCAACCCGTGTTACAATGGTGCACAGCGGTGGTTTCAACAATTTTGTTTGAAATTGTTGAAAGGCTCACGCGTCTAGCCGTTCGAACACGTGCGCGGATGCTAAGGAGACAGCCGCGGGCCAGGATTAGCAGTGCGCCCCACAACAGTGCGTTTGAGTGGGGATTGGCGAATCTTGGGTCATGCGGGCTGATATGATTAAGGTTTAGTTAGTAAGATTAGGCTGTTAAAATAGATTTATTGAAAAGGAGACCGCTCCGAGTTGATTGGACTGGGTACCATACTCGACCCATTGCAATTAATTCAGAGGTGTTGGGAGCCGCCATACTCTCAACAGCAGTTCCTTGAGGGCTGTCGGGGGCGGATATATCTGTGGGACGCCAGTAGATAGTCCGAGGGCGTTATTAGACGACCCAAAACGCTAGGAAAAACGTAATCTGTGAAGGGCGTTGCGGCCTCCGAGGGACGGACTAGTAACCTACCTAGCAGCGATTCAACAACTAAGTGATCGCACACTTAGTGGAGGTTGAGTCGTCCCTAGTCATAATTGTTGCTGAAAGCTGCGTGTCGCTCTGTTGGAACCTAGAGGGTGTGGCCCCTAGGCTAGGTGTGGTACGGCGAGCCGGTAGGAGCAATTATAAGATTAAGTCGAGTGCATTTTTGAATTAAGTATACTTCAATTTATAAAGTAATTTCCGTTTATTTGCGTTGTTCTAGATTAATTTTTTTCCCCTAAATTCAATCCCCGGTTAAAATTTTTCCCAAGTGTAGCGTTTTCTTGCATATTGGGCTAAGTGCGTACGTTAAGTTTTGTTATTCCCTGTTCTATTAGTCTAAGTCAGAGGCGTTGTTAATCCTCTGGACTTAGGGCTATTGGTCGGTCACGATAGTAAGTGAAGGAGTTTAAGGGATAGTAAGTTGCGTGTAAATGTTATTTGTCCGTGGAATATTTCTAAGTATTTTGGGATAAGTTTTCGGCTAAGTCAATGTCGGAAAGTCGTTAACTGTAATTAATTTGTATTCGTGGGTCACGTGTATGTTCTGGGCGTCATTAGGATTCCCCAGTCGATGCGAGTGATAGTTTCTAGTTTTTACCAGTAAGACGGTAGAATTGTGTTTTTAGACTTAGAATTCTGTTTTCAGTAGAAACGTAGGTGGAAAATTTTCTAAGTCCAGCTTGGGCTAGAATCTGACTTTTTGGCGGAAATTCTAATTTTCAGGTTTCGTGTATATCCTAGGGTCAGTATTACTCTCTAGTGCGCGCAAGGGACGTAATTCTGTTCGTAAAACATTAAACAGTGATAATTACATTTTTGCCGAATTTAGTTATTTTTCGAGAAAATCGTGTTGTAATTTTGTCAGAGTCCATTTGAGGTGAAAATCTCGGATTTTGACGAAAATTCGAATTAATGAGTGTTGAAACCGCCCGAAGTGTCAGTATTGTTCTGTATACAACGTCAGTATTAAATAATAACGTATTTATATCTGGAAACGAGACACCCAAATTTTTGTGAATTAAAGGAGTTTTGTGATATTTAGGGTGATAGAAATTTTTTTTCCCTCGGAGTCAGAAAAATTGGCAGAGTCCAGCAATTGAGTAAAAGCGCAGTTTTTTTATAAAAATTCAATTTTTAGTAAGCATTTATAGGTCCTGGGTGTCTATATTAATCGCTAGAGCGGTTTATTAACGTAAAACTAGTTATTTTCCTTCAGAACAAAAATTTTGATTTTTCAGCGTTTAAGCGAAAAAGCGCGGGACTTAGTTTTTTTCAGCGCAGCTGGTCCCGCTCCATCAGTCATCAGTGGCCACGCTGCTCACTTCAAGCGTGTTTAGTATTCGAGGACAGTAAATATTCTTTATTAATCCATCACGAGTGCTGCGCGTTAGTTGCGTTATCATTTAAATTGTTTTATATAAATTAGATTCCTTAATTTTTTTTAACGTAAAGGACTTAGGCTTCAGCAATAGAACTGCGGGATATTTCACGGGCAGACACGAGTGCGGGGCAGACATTCATTGGATTCACTTCAGCGATTCTCTGGATAAATCGTTGTATTTCCTATTTTGGGAATTTAGTAGTTTTCTCTTAGAATAGAGTTGTGATTTTTTTTTTATTTGTGTAAGATCACGGTTGTAGTGAGTCCGGGTCGAGGGTGTACTAAAGGGTAGTTTAGAAGAGACGTGGCACACCAGGAATCACAGAAAATGTTTAACCCAGATAATGACCAGTCAGTGGGGACCAGTGGGAGTGGAAGTGGAAGTGTAGAGGACAGCACCTCTTCCGACACCACTGGGGACCACCTAGGTACACCTCATCCGTCACTACAACAACCCCAACCCCATCCTCAATTCCCATACCAACCCCATCCTCAATTCCCATACCAACCCCATCCTCAGTTCCCATACCAACCCTTCCCCCAACCCCAGGCCACTCCATACCCATTCCAACCCCAGGCCACCCCATACCCATACCAACCCCAGGCAACCCCATACCCATACCAATCCCAGGCCACCCCATACCCATACCCATTCCAGCCCCAGGCCACCCCATACCCACCCCAACCTCAATCCACACCCCAGCCTGAGGTCACCCACACCATACCTCAACCCCAACCTCAATCCACACCCCAACCCGAGGCCACCCACACCATACCTCAACCCCAACCTCCATCCACACCCCAACCCCAGGCCCACCCACACCATATCCACACCCCAACCCCAGGCCGCCACAGCCTTAGACAGGCAGATGCGCACGGAGACGCCGGGCACTCAGTTGTCGCCATACGTAGAGGCGTTAAGTAAAGGCGAGGGAGCCAAGCTGAGGAACTGTGGCGCGGGTTCATCAGGCGGGAAGCAGCCCTCGGCTGCAAGTTCGAGCCACCCTGCGCGGGGTACCAACAGAGATCCGCGGAGGTGTTACTCCTGCTGGAAGCGCGGGCATATACAGAGGGATTGCGAAGTCACTCCTACGAAAGCATGAAAGCAGGCTCCTAGTGATGGTAGGCCTACTTTTGAGGTGAAAGTGGAAGGTGTGAGATTGACAGCTTTTGTTGATACAGGAAGCCAGGCAACGGTCATTAAAAAGTCAGCCTTCAGCAATTTTAAGTATGCACGTCTTCAACGTTGCGCAAAGACATTAACAGCAGTCAATGGGGAAAAGATTGAGATCGTAGGTCAAGGTACAGTTAATTTTGAGATTGATGGGGAATTGCAGCCTCACACATGTACGATCGTAGAGAACCTTGATTTTCCTGGTCACATCTTAATGGGAACTGATTTTCTGTCGCGATTTG